CGCGCCGTCGGCGGCCGCTCGGCGTAGCAGGGCGCGCCGCGTCGCCGCCACGCCGCCCGCAGCTCCAGGGCCGCGGCGACACAGCACCGGCCTGCCCCAACACACGGCCCTTCAGCGCGCCTCCACCGCCACTCGGCAACTACGCCCATTAGCCACTCGTACATTGCATCGTCGATGCACAAGAAATGTCACACACTTCACGACTTGCCGTTTGGTAGGAGATTGGATTTAATTGTTGCCGTTCAGTGTACGGCGGAAGACAAAGCGGTTTACTCTAAACATATGTCTTCACTTAAATAAAATATGACAATTTCTGAAATGTGTTACGTTTCTTCTAAAACGGCAATAGAAAAATCGAACTGAAAGTAGGCAATCCTTTCTATTTTCAATTGATTTACATCCAAAAAAATTGTTCATCATTCCTTTTTATATTTTTGAAATAGCTATAGTTACTTTTGCTGAATTGTACTAGTTTATATTTGATTAACGCACCTAGGATTTAACACATGATCATGTAATACAAAAAGCATGTAATACAAAAATACTCACATTAAACGAAAATTTGAGTTTCTTGTTTTCAAAGGATCGTAGTTAAAATTAAAGAATACACGGAATAAAATGGAAGACGGCGCCTGAGAATCGTACGCTTTTGCTGCCGATATCGCGTTTTCTGGCGGTTGCCCGGGCCATCCTACATCGTATCCTTGTTTGCGTTTCCGGACGTGGAAAAAAACGGAAAACCAGCACAGGATGTCAGGCAAGTACAAGACGTTAGGTAAGCATTGGATGTTAGGCAAACTCCACCAAATGTTATTTTTATTTATTTCTGTTTTTATTTATTTATCGTAACAAAAGTAAACTAGTGGAGCAACAGAATTGCACATACTTTAGCGTACTCGTAGTAGTTTTCTAATTTCCTTGGTGTGGGCTATCATCACTTTCTTGCCCCATCCTCTTGCCTTCTGTCATCTATCGCCGCCCAAAATATATTTTTTGAAATTGTTATATTTTTTGGTTTCCTAGTGGTAGATTGGAAATATTACTTTTAAAATATTAAAGAAGAGGAAAATTTCCATATAGGACGAGGTTTTAGTTTGAGCGTTACTCCAAATGAAAAAATTGAAGCACTTTTTCACAAGAATATTTTGTGTTTTCAAAAAAATGCATTTAGTCATTTAAAGCTCTTTCACTCACAAACGCAAGAATGCATACAAATTGCTGGCAATGTGTGTTTATACGGTGTGAGAAATAATAAAAAACATTTGTGTAATTTTTAAAAAATCAAAAGGATACAATAAATTAATTTTATGTCATCTTAAACACTGCAATTAGCACTATCTGTACGAATCGTTTGAAGAAACAATTTGGCGCCGTTTTTGAGAAAATAACGTTTGTGCAATTGTGAAAATACGGTTTTTTGAGCTCGTTTTCACACAATCGTTTTAAGTGACATAATTTAAAGCACATATACTAGTAAATGCATTAATGTGAACAAATTATTGCTAATGTAAATATTAACGACGAAAGAGACTAGAAAAAAATTAAATTTTTGTAATTTTTTGAAAAAAAGAATAGGGCAGAATGGCGTTTATGTCGTCGTACAGTACATTTAGCACCATCTCTACCAAAAGTTTAAGGAAAAACAATTATAGCTGTTTTTGAGAAAATATTGTTTTTGTTATTTTTTAATATTGCAAATATTGCCGGCATTATTGTGCGAAAACTACTAAATTTTAAAAAAAAATGAACATAAAAGAACTAAATGTCATTTCAAGGAAAAATACCTATCTTCATTTTTGTACTTGTAGGAAGACTCCGAAAAATTCAAACTTTTGCAATGTACAAAAATTCAGAGTTAACTGTGAAAATCGGACCTATGTTATTCTTATAAGTGTGTTTCAGTCCATTTTCACAAGAAATTGAAAGAAAAAATTGGAGCATCTTTCAAATAATTTTGAAAATGTCCCTGGGTCTTCATGTATGGTACCCACAAATTTTAAAGAATAATTTTCAAAATCGCGGCGCTTCGAACCGAGCCAGATCAACCGTTTAATATCCGTTTGGAATAAAAATACTACGTAGGCGGTAGTGGCGTTCACAGGCGGACAGGCGGACATTTTCGTTCGTTAGACGGGCAGGCAGACGTTTTGAAAAAGTTTTTTCTGACGAAATGTTGGCGTTTTCTGGAGCCCAATTACATAACTTTCTCTTCTTACGAATTATTCTTAATTATTAATTACATAGCTTTATACTACGTATATTACTGTACACGTAGAAAGTTAAAGGTCGGAGAAAGTAATGTGTACGCTATTGGGTGAAGTGTACTACAAGAAACATTCAGTACTGACCTTGGGCCAATGTCAGTATGACATACTGACTAAAAAATAAATACCAGAAAGCGTGCTTGGTTTTGCTTTCTGGTATCTAGTTTTTATTTACTAAGCATTCCCTGGTTATCTCGAAATTATTTTGAGCGTAAGAACCGCATGAGGGGCAGAAAATTGTCGTAAGATTTGCCCAGGATATAGCCTCATGGGAACGTGGTTTGTAACGAGCAAGATCACTTCGTATTCATAATGTGCAACGAATAACGTTAAATAATCGTAGAAATATAAGAAATCATAAAAGAATTGGATTGTAAAATGGGAGTTTAGGCACGTTGTAAAAATTGATTTTAAAAATAGGCATGAGTTAATTTTATCCCCCAAAGTCGGCGTGAGTGCAGAAAATGTGATTCTCAATATCCCGCCAGAGTTTAGAGCAACCGATATGAGTGCAATGAATCGGAAAACGGCTAGTCGAAGAACTGTGGTAATCTTAATTATACGTCAATAAAGTTAGTTTAGTACTTAAGTTTACGCACGTCAGCAAACCCTTTACGCTATCAAATAGTTACGGTACGCTGAGAGTAACAAGAACCACGTGAAAGCAAGGAACACCTCAAGGCGACCGAAGGAGGTCACATACCCTGGAGAACGCATTGGACAATAAAATGATATCATGCACATAAGGCACGACGGCGGGCGTAAAATGCCCGCGTCCAAACACCATCGGGAAGAAGGCGCCATATCGCGGAGTGTGCGTTATGGTCGCCCAGGAGGAAGCGACTCTCGACTCTGTGTGTGAGAGATTGACGGATTATTGTTTCGAGCTATTAGTCCCGTAAGGGAAGAGCATGTTTATCGCGGGAGGTGGCGCTGAATGGCGAGATCCAGTACCGACCTACACGCTGCTTTGCAAGGTATCCCCACCTAGGTATCTTCCAAAAGTGAGGCATCGCCCCAGCAGGGATAATTTCTAAGATATTGACTGGTCTCCTGACATGTGGAGTAAGGTAGTGCATTTCTGTGAAAGGACGGGCAAGGAAGGGCAAGGAAAGGCAAGGACGGGTTACATTCGGTCCGTAGCCCATTTGTTAGAGTACTGCTTCGGCATTAGCCTGGTGGATTCCTCCTTGGGGTCCATGACGCACACTGCGCAACACAGCGCCTTCTTCCCGCTGGTGTTCGGAGACGGGCATTTTAGGCCCGCTGTCGTGCCTTTGATAACATTATTTTAATGAGTAAGGCCGCCTCGAATGTATTCGTCTGCGGCCGTCTGCGGCCGCCACCATCGAGATTCTAACCCTAGGACCTCCAGGTCAGAGACACTACAGTGACTTCAATTGCTTCCCTGAGCCAACTGAGTGTTTTTGTAACGAGTGGGTCTATATATACTGGACACCGGTCCCGCTCGAGAGGCGACTTGGTCTCCGTCTGCCGACGGCCTGACGGCCCCCATCTGGAGACGCCTGTGCGATGGCTTCCCTAAGGTTATCTTGGCACGACGTGATTAGTGCACAAAGCGATGTGTGAACGAAACTAAGTTAATCGACAGGAGAATCCACTCACCGGAGTCTCCCTCGATCCCCCTATCCATGGGCCACGCTAGTGAAGTTACCCCCCTGGGATGTTGCCACCTCATTAAAAATTATTACAAAACAATTATGTGGCAGTAAATGTAATGTTTATTCTCCTTTATGCTTATCATATAATGATGAAACAAGACATTCGTTTATACACTTCCGTTTATATTCTCCTTCCCAATCATTCCGAGCATCGATACATATATATTGTACATAGAAATAGAAACTCTGTCTCAACCAACAACCTCTCCTACAATTAAAAGGCTTGTTTGCAGCTGCCTCTAAAGCATCTAATGTCATCAACAAAAATAATTAGGGCATGTATACATGCAATATAAAAATAAAAATAATTTATTTCTTTTTTTAATTTGATAAAAGTATTTAAGATTACAAACATTTTGGGTTAAAGTACTCTAAACAACGAAGATAAATTGCTTTTAACGTTAATCATGTTTTCTAAGGAAGATGTTATGTAGCAATGCTGACCACTCTTTGTTTTGGAACTAAGGTATACAGAGCTTTTCGTTCAGAAGCATCCTGAGGATCTATAGACATAAGGGGGATAATTTAATTAACTTTGGTCGGATGTGGATGGAAGAGGAGCTCGCTACCCCTTACATCATGGGACGCCTCAAGGGCAGCTAATAATAGTAACCAGTAAAACAGATTGCCAACCCACAAAAGACGTCAGCATGCAATGTAGTCTCTATGAATCTGATGGTAGTTTAACTGTCCCCTCTAAATAAACCATTTTAGCATAATCGTTGGAAATCACCCGACTATGACTTTAGAATGACGTTTTCAATTGAATCCTCATTTTTTCCATTGCCAAGAATACCTAAACGTCTATTTCTGAAAACGATATTCGACGATATTAACATGTTTACAAACTAACAATCAGATAAATTTGTCCTCAAATATTAAATGAGTATTATAAGACGACTCTTCTTTATGTTGCTGAAATCCCGCCCCAAGAGCGTTCCAATTCTGGTATTTTGAAAAGCTTCACACGTAGTCTAAGCTTTGCTAAATTTTGTTGTTTATATGGCCTTTAGAGAGTCCGTGGTCTACGAGTGCTCTCAACCCATCGTCTACGGTAGTTGCGTGAAGTGACGGGATACCAGGTCGGGCAGACGCCGTGCGCTCTTCCTTTGCCTGTTGACAAGATTAATTGCTTAAAAATGCTAACGGATTGCGCGATATAACTTACACTGTGACATTAATTCTTGATTAATAGAATAATTCAACCTGGCCATAAGATGTGACCAACAAACATTATTTTCATGTTCTTAAATTCTCTAACTGAAGAGTGGTGAATTGTAGTTAATGAACAATGGAGAGTGTTGTAAATGAACTCGCACAGCTTAAAACCTAGCAAGCATATAATTCATTATGAAAGTTCCAAAAGAAATGTATTTCTGTAATATTGCTCTATGTATACTGGAATGCAATAATACTTGTACGTATCATTGCTTGCTGACTCATATTAAACTCTAGTCCCTCGGTTGCTTACCAGAATGCAAGGAATTGGTGAATCCAACAAAGAACTTAAAAATTATCAATGAACAATAAACACATGTTATTAAATATACTAAATAACATTAAGAACTCCTGTTTATTCCTGAATGTATTACAAGTGTACCACCTATCAAATTGTAGAAATTAACACTTGTATTTGTAGGGTCATATGCATAAATGTCTAACTTAAAATATTACTAAGGGGACAAGAAAACACGATAAAGTTTGAAAATGTTTACTTTTATTAGTATGCTGAGGGGAATTATTTGTAAGGTTTGTTAACTAAAGTTTCTGTCAGAAAGTCTTTAAACTAAACATTTTCAAGCGAAAACAAACAATAACCAAATTCTTCCATTTAATTTTAATGTAAACATTAGGAGAACGATAAAAACACATCTTAAACTTTCTCTAAAATAAAAAAGTACTACAAAGTGAACAGTTTAATTACGGTATACTACATGTATCTTTTGAAATCATAGGAATACAATTTACTTAAATAGTATGTATTAGTTTGATTCAGAAAATGTTCAAATGTACTGTATTAAAATATATAATATAAAAAGCATAAAAGAGTCGTGCAATTTACCCTGCATGATGCATTAACAAACATACATGCAAACAAGTGAGCGCAGGAGCTGTAATTAGCAGGGATTGTTTCGTGAAAGCCTGGCTTTATTGGTGTAAGCAATGAAAGAGGTAGTAAGAACAAATCGCAGAAATTTGTCAACCAGAAGTTTTGATGTGAAAATATCTTGAGGTTTAAGTTGTGAATTCTAAGGTGCAACCCTTATCACCAGCTACTCTCAACATGTGTTTATTTCAGCCCAGTGCTTCACAGTCGCATATCAACTTCATTCTGGTACACAGCGAACACCAATGTTGGAGGAATTTAACGGCAGATCCCAGAATAAATTGCAATATAAGGCAAATTGTGTGTATTTAATAATTCATGATACTAGTATTTATCACTATATTATTAAAAAATTCTGCGCGACGTTGGAAATAATTTCCAGCTTGGTGTAGGGCAAGGGTGTATGTTTATATATTGAGCATTTTATGTACTTGTAGTTCTTTCCGCAGGGACACAAGTGGTCACGTCCTTTTTATAAAGAAATAGTTCAACATTCACGATATTTCACCGATTTCACAATAGTGAGTTCTATTGTGAAACCAGTGTATGTGAAATTTTATTACAAGTACTAAAATAACAATTCAACGTGATTAAGTGCATTCCTGGATTTAAGAGAACACTGGAGTCTCCACGAAGCGATTATGCATGGCGAGACTTTCCAACTTTTTGTAAACATCCGTTAAGGGTTGAATTTCTAAGGGCTCAGAAACGTTCCAGGTTTAAAAGTTCTAAATGCTGAAACTGTAAATCTGTATCTAAACGAGGGTATAGGCAAATCGACGTTGGGGTCCGTTGTTGACCCTTTTCATTGATATGCGACTGTTAACGTCATTTTAAAATCACAATTGACTTGGCGATAGGAAATGTCACATTATGACATAGAAATATTTGCAAGTGTACGTGCTTCATTCAGATTTTGTATGAACCATGATAAATTTAAAAGTGAATGTATCGAATGTACGTTGCTTTTCTTGTAGTTCAACGGTTTTGCGGAAGCTTATAGAACGAGATAAAACGACTTTTTCTATAAGAAATTAAGTTCAGAATTTGGTTAAACTTTCTTTACATTATTCTTTGGTTTAATTTTGCAAGATCGTTTACTTTTTAAACTTAAAATATAAACTTTACAATGTAGACAGGCAAACACTTACGTGAAGTGCTATAGGTACTTATTTTAAGTGCTTCTCTTTAATACTTTTATCATAAGCAAATTATTTACATTTTTGATGATTTAATGCAAAAGCCTTTAATGTCAAGATTTTCTTGAAACCGTTCTATTTTGATTGTTTCACAATCATAAAGTTATACAGTAGAACGTTTTAAAGCATGGAACAACTCAATAGAAATGTTGACAAATTCGGGTCCTAAGTGCCGCATTTTCTGCCGTCAGACCCAGAATTATCACAGACGGCATTTTGCAGCACGTCGGGAATCTCTCTAAATACGACGATCGCCGCTCGCCCTGGCCTTATTAGCGGGAATCGCCCGCACGAGACGTCGGGATGACGAGGTGCCTCCGCGATAAGCCGCCGTTTCAACCGTTTCTCGGCTCCGCGTCCACCCCAAACGCCACGGCGTTTACCGCGAGGCGGAAGCGCCGGGCCCGCTTTCTAGGCCATGCAAATCGCGCCCGTGACCCGGCGCCGCGCGCCGCAGCCGCCACCGCCACCGCCACCGCCACCGCCACCGCCGCGCCGCCCGATGCGCCCGGCGCCCGCAGCGCGCCCGCGCCCGCCAGCCCGCCCTGCGCCACCGGGCCCTGGCGGAGCCTCTACCCTCCGTGCAACGCGTTTCCCTCCAGTGCCCGATAACCTAACACTAAAAGTGCCCAATATTATTACGGACCTAGACCGCAACAAGATCATTTGGCAGTAGTTTCAACGGACACTTCGAACGCAACCCTTCCCCCGCAAGTTTTGTTTCAAAAAGGAAATCTATGGTATTGTCTTCCGTCGGAGGCATGGAAACGCACGCGTGTGTCCAAGAAACAACTGCACT